CGCCGGCTTCTTCGGCGCCTTTCGGCTCGCTTTTGGCGCCGCCAGCAACCTGCAGTCTCCTCCGGAGCTCAGAGAAAGAGAGAGAAAAGAGAAACATTGGCGGGGGAGTTATTTCGTTTCCAGAATTGGGGCGCTAGGAGCTTAATTCAAAATACCGGCGGAGGGTTTGGGGGGGCTGAGAAACAGGAGGTGCATGGCGTGGTTCTTGGGGTTGCTTTTGCTCCAAAAGACGACTCCCTAATTGAGGGACAAAGCCCCGGAGGCTGGCACCTCCGAAGCTGGACCTGCGGCGCCAGCCGAGTTGGAGTATGTATTCGATGATCAACCCTGGATTTTTATTTCAATGGAAAGAACAGCAGTCCGCAGACTGAAGGAAGAGGGTGGGAAGGGAAGCGCGTTTTAAAATCTGTTTGATTGGGATTTGTAAGTAAAAGGCCCCTAAACCTGCAATTCCCCCCATTAATGACCGCAGAACCCCCTGGAGAGCACATGGAGTTGTCCCTGGGAACCTGGGCGTGTGGGCATTTGGGTGGGAGAAGCAGGGATCCCGCTTTAGCCTCCTCCAATTTGTGGGGTGCAAAGGCGAGAATCTGGTTGCTGCACATCTGCCTAGCCCCCCATCAGGGCCACCTTTCCTCCCTGGGGGAAAACTAGGGCCCCCACACCCACAATGCTGCAGCCTCACAGGTGGGGGTCCCGCCATTAATAGAGCTAGGAATGAGGGGGGCGTTCAGAGAAGCAGAGGGGGGCACGGAAGCTTTCATTTTGCCTCGATGCAATTGGCAACTCAGAACACCAGCTGCTGCTCCCGACTAACCCCCAAATTGGCTCAGAACAGTCCCCGTGTGGAGTATTTGGGGTGAGTTTTTACTAGAAGAGGGGGCAGAGCTCCTGTGAGAATAGGGAGGTTCCAAAAAGAACCCCCTTCCCAGCTGGACCCTTGTGGCTCCTCGACCTGACTGCCTGCACCCCAAATATCACCCCTTCTTAGGGTGGGGTTTCCCAAAAAAAGCGAGAAGGAGAAGAAAAGAAGATGGCGACTGAGAAAAGGGTTGCTGGTGGAGCAGCCATGAAGAAATGCAATAAATTCCTTGTTGTTTTATGAAAATTTACAACTTTGTGATAGAAGTTTATGAGTGGTTGAATCCAGCGATTGGCCGGCGCCGGTCATGTGGCCGGGCGATCGTGAACATGAACTTTTTATCATTTCCCTGGTGGTTATAATGCAGCATTCTTTTGGACACCACACCTAGGTCGGAGCACTGTCGTCCTTGAGGGCTCCAGCCTCTTGATATTTTTATACTTCAGTATCAGTTCGATCAAGCAAAAGAGAGAGGGAGAGAGAGGAAGAGAGAGGGGGAGAGGAAAGAAGAGAGAGAGGGGGGAAGGAAGGGTGGGAATTACACAAAAGAGAGAACCTAAAATAATTTTAATTCCTAAGTTAATTTCCTTGCTGATCTGGGATTTTAGTCATCATGGAGGGTAAATGGACAATCTGCCCAGGACTGCAGGCTGACACCATTTTTCAAAGCCAGAACTTACTCCATTTTCTATGCAAATATCAGAAAAAACGAAACACCCTCTCTCCCAAGTCAGAGAAGGGGAAGCGACGGCTCTCAGGTTGGGACAATATTATCTGGAAGATGAAGAGGAAACCGAACGCTCTTTTTTTCCCCCTCCTTCCTCCCCACCCCTTTCAATCGGAGGACAGAAACCTCAAGGTCTGCAAAGGTAAGGGAGATTCTACAATTTTCTTCTTATTCTTTTGCCTCGATTTTGTAGGTGGGGCTTGGGTTTGTCTCCCCCCTCCCCTGTCCAAGATGGGGCTGAACCCCACCTCTGGGTGCTGCAGGGAGAGGCTTCCCAGGAAATTCGGCGGTAGAGAGAGGGGTGGCTGCTTCCTGGAGGAGGAACGAAGGCAGGGAAGATGGGAGGAGGACCCGAAAGGGGCCACAGAGGCGAGCTCTAAGTCGCCTTTTTAAGCCGGGAGGAGAGGCTCAAGCGAGGGGGCTGCCAAAGGGAGGATGGGGGTGTTTGGGCTTCAGGGCACTCGAAGAAGCCGGTGGCTACAGCCTCTGTGGGTTTGTGCCTCCACCCCCTCCTCCCACCATCCCTCCCTCGTTCTGGCCTCCCCCCAATTGCCCCTACGCTGTTCTCTTGTCCGGTTCGGGTGTCGGCAGTTTCCCGGCAGCATTGGCATGAGGGGCGGTGGCTCGGAGGGATGTCCTGGTCTCTGGAGGGCCTGGAATCTCCGCAGAGGCCGTGGCGGGCAAGGAGGCGGCTAGAGAGAGACAGAAAGAACAATTTATGGAGAAACACGCTCATTCTCTCGCTTTGGAAACATTTCTGAAATTAAAGGGCTGTAAGTGGAGGCACCTAAATGGAGGTACTCCCCTCCCCCCAGCCTGCCTGAGAATGCCCAGGTCTCTGGCCACTCCCGAAGGAGGGAGCCTGGCTCTGCAGGGAGACCATGTTGTGGTGTTGAACGCGGTAGGTTACAATGTGCTGGTTTCTGTGCGACGCTGATGCTATTACTTGTGTTTTGTTGGTTTGGGGGGTGTGGGTTTCGGTGGAGGAGAAAATTGCCATTTGCATAACTGATGTTGAAACATTTCAAACTTTCCTGGATCTAAACCTGGTGAGTGTGAAGACGGTGTGTTGTTGTTTAAGGCTTGTAAATTAAAAAAAAAAAAAAAGGAGAAGAAAATAAAAAGAAAACCCAATTAGGGGGCCTAATGGTGTCCGGACTAGAGAGCTGCCTGGCGCTGAGCTCAGACAGCTAGTCCTGTCCCTCAGGCGCCAGATTTTATTCCCCAGCCAGGCCTTCTGGGGGGAAGCTTTGGGCTGGAGACGGAAATTCCTAAAGTAGCTGGTGGGGGTGGAAGACGGTGCAAGTCTCTGGGTGTGGACTTAAAATAGAGCGAGAGGGCTTTTGAGGAAGCTGCAAGCCAGGAGATCAGCGACTCTGGAGAGATTGGTTCGGTTTGGTTTGCACGATTAGGTGGTTGCTTCTCTCTTCTTAAAGACCAGAGGCCGAGCGCGGAGCCTCAGGACCCTGGTTGCCTAAGGAGGTTGTGTCCGGGGATACTGGCCCTCTGGGTCCCGAGCTGGCAGAGAGGGACTCAGCCACTTGTGGCGCGGGAGGGGTCCCTGGAGGCCCAGGTGGATGCCCTCCCAGCAGGCCGGGATTGGGGGTCTGGGGGGACCCCGCGCTGCGCATAGCCAGAGAAGGTCTCGGCTACCACCCACGGCACTTGGAGCCTATTCTCAAAGGGAAAACCCCCCAAACCCACCCGGACCGAAGGTCTTTTTCTCCTGTAGTCTCGGCGGGGTATAAATCATCCCTTAGTTTGCTGTGATCCAAATTATGCGGTTTGCTGCCATCTACCGTCCGTTCGGAGACATGCGGCTTCGGCGCCGCGAGCCCCGCGATGCTGCCTGTATCGTGCCCGACGCCTGGAGCCCGGGCGCTGAGGTTTGGCGGGATTCGGGGACTTCGGGCCCAGATTGTCGCTTCCCGTCGGGTCCAGGTTCCCCCCGCCCGAGTGTGGACTAGAGAACTAGTGTCCCCTCCCCCTCGCCCGCCCCATCCTGGCTCCGAACCTTGCGGCTGGCGGGAGAAGCGGCGTTTTCTAGGGCATATTTAAAGGGACTGATGCCGCCTTCCGCGGGCGGGGGGCCCTGAACCGGGGAGCCCCCCACCCACCCACCGCGGGCGCTAGCGGGGATCCTCCGGGCCTCTCGGGAGATCCGAGGCCAAGGCTGTTCCAGGTTTATTTGGTTTTCTTTTTGGCCAAGGGAGGGGCCGAAGAGGTGGCGCCGGCCCGGCAGTTCCACTCGGTTGTCAAAAGACAACCGGGTCTGTGTTCTCCCGGTTGGCGGGTGGGTCTTGCCAGCTCCTTGGCTGGCGAATCGGTGATGAAGGAATTGAGCCAAATTTTCTGGAAACGGTCGGTGTCTGCAAGTGAGTGGGGGCCCCCTCCCTTATTCTCAATCGTTTCAAGCGAAATAATCGACAAAGATGCTTTGGGGGGGAAATTGGGGGTACAGATCAATCACCGAGGAACCAAACCATGAAGATTTTCGTTCCTGCCGGACCCCTCACACCCGCCTTCCCAGAAGGGGTGGCGAGGGCGGGGGTCCGCGCCGCGGCCGCCTCGTTTGAATATTGGCCCCTGTCTCTCGGGTTACTGATTAGCTCGGGCTTTCAAGCCCCAGGAGGAAGCCCTGGCCGTCCCTTTCAAGGTGCGGTGGCCCCGGCTCCTGGGCGGGGGCTCCAGGAAATTGCCTGTGGTGCCGGGCAGCCCGAGGTGTTACTAGGGTCTGGCCTGGAGCTGGAGGGGCCCGGCGGGGCTGAGGGCAAACGCCAGGGCTACAGTCGGGCCCCCACCCCCACCCCGGGATCAGGCTTCTTCTTGTGGGCAATCCAGAGGTCAGGTAGGGAGGAGAAGGTGGCTGGTACCGAGGGTGGAAACACTGCAGGGCTCCTAGAGCGCTGGTGGACCTGGGGGTGGGGGGAGCGGGAACTGGGCGCCGCGGCCCTCCCCACCCCCAGATCAGAGACAAGGTGGTTCATTTGCATATGAAAATGAGGTCCTGGCGCCGAGCTCTGGACCGGCCCATCTGAAGGCCCTGTTCCATCTAAACAGCTCGCAAAGGTCGGGAGCCATCACGTTGCTTCCTCTGGGAACATTTATGCTTCCCAAACCCAGAGACTCACAGAATTGGGTAGACATGTTTCAACTTGCCACACCCCGGCCAGAGTGACAAGTGGGGTGTGGGGGAAGGTGTCCACAACCAAAGAGCTGGGGGCGGGGGCTTTGTAGCTGAGAGGAAAGGGGAAGCCTGGACAATGTCTCAATCCCCCCTCCCCTCCCCTCCCCTCCACACACATACAGGCGGATACCCTCCCTTAGGTTGCTGGTACAGGAGAATTTTCCTCCTGAGCTGAACACAACTGAGGTATTTCCCTGGGAGCTGGAATGTGTGTGCGTCCACAGGGCTGCAGATTCGAAGCACAGAAAACTACAATTATAAACCCTGCCTGTGAGGTTTCTGTGCAATCCTGTTGTGTACTCAAGACTTGGTACACATTTCTATCCACCTCTCCATACGCATGCTTCCTCACTGAAGCAGGGAGAGACCCCCCCCCCCCCCCAGACGGGCAGCCGGCTGCTGTGTATTTACATATTCCCCCTTGGAGACAGACAGATGGGACAGTGGACTGAACCACAGACAGATCCGTAGAGATCTGGCTCCAGGAACCAGGCGGCCTCTGGCCCAGCTCTGCCTGCCTGCTCTTTCTCCCAAACAAACGGATCAGAGGAATAAACGCTCATAAATACCTCTGGGTTTAGATAAGAGCGATGAGGCGCTATTTCCTTTCATGCTGGACTACAGGCGCCCAGGCCCTGCCTTTTTGGCTCCATCTCCCGACAGGCAACCTGCAGAGGTGAAGTTAATTTGGGGCTGTGACTCTCTCTAAGGACAAGGGGATTATTTTCCTGCTTCTCTCACCGGGGAATCTTACTTTGTCCAAACTCCACCGGCAAGCCTACGCCATCCAGTCCCAAGACGGGGACATAGTGGCCAGCGAGGGGATAGCGAGGGCTGAAACCCAAGGCCCAGCTTCAGTGGCAGGGAGGGGGGAGGTGCACACCTCGCTCACCTCGCCCAAATGTTCCACGTGCCTCTGTGGGAACGGGCCCAATCACAGCTAGATTGGAACATTTATGATGCTCCATCATTAGAGGGCTTGAGTTTGTTTTTCTTAAATCTTGATAAAACGACTGCAGAGTCAGGGTAGGAAGGGATCACTACTTGGCCATGAAGGGGCAACCTAGATGTTGTCCTGAGTTCAGGAAGCCTTGAAGGCCATTTTGCTACCAAACAAGTGCCCACCCTTAGTCACCAACCTCAGCCCTCTGCCATTTTCCCTAGTGTCTTGTCACACCTTTAGTGGGTAGAGCTGGCCCATAGAAAGGAGCCCAAAGAGTAAGGTAGAGAGGAGGCACAGCCTGGCCCCTTCATCAGCTTTTGTCCCACATCCTGGCCCATGCCCAGCTCCAGGTCTGAAGGTGGTCCCCCTTGACATCCTCTCCGTGAATATTAGAATTTTGAAAACACATTGTGGCTGTCTTCCAGCCTGGCTTCAATGTTCATTTTCTTTAGACGAGAGCCAGAGACATGCACTCTCACACACGCAAGCTTGTACTGCAGCAAAGCGGGTGCTGCAAAAATGAGATGGGGGTGGGAGGGACTGTAGAGATGCTGAGAGACAGAGGGTGGTGAGCATCTGGAGAGGGGATGTGGGCTGATAGTTCTAAGCTGCCTGCTGAGACCTCTTCCCTCCTTATAAAACTAAACCAAAATGAAGTCTGGGGAAAGAATTAATTTTAAAAAGAACGGCCAGCTTCTGGAGAGACTTGGAAAAGGTGTGAGGACCCCTCTCTTCCTGGTGGTCTCTAAGCGCCTCAACTATCAGGAGGGTTTGAGGACCCCAACTTAGAGGAGGACCAATTTCTCTCCTATACCCTCTTTCTGAGACAACCTTGATTCCTAAGGATCTGTCGCCCAGGATATTCTCATGTCTTTGTGGGGGTGAAGGTTGCAGGCAGGATAAGTGATCAGACAAACCCAGGCTGGGGGATGCCCCTCACACCCCCTCTCTTTATCCCTAAGTGGAGAGGGCTAGACCCTCTCCCCATCGCCCCTTCCTGTGCCCAGAGCAAGCGGTGCACACTAGACCCAGGCGTGATGTCTTGGGGAGCAGCCATAGCGGCCCAGGAGGCTCCTAACCCAGCTGCAGAGCCAGGAGAAGGTTAGGCTCAGACCCTCCTCCCATTTACCGGCCTTCGGGGTCCTCTGGGCAGCAGGCTCTGGCCTGCCTCTCAGACCACGAGAGCTGCGGAGAAGCAGGAATCATAATCCCAGGCTTGGAAGAGATAGAGTGGATCTGAGAAACAAGGGGAGGAGGGATGTCTTCAAAACCTGGGAAGGGGATGGTTTCCTTTTCGCCTCTCTCTCTCTGAAAGGATGCTAGTTAGCGGCGAACTGAACTCTTCTCCCCTTCGGCCAACACAAACCCCTAGAAATAAACCGCCTTTGGTTCTCTCCTGGCTAGGCTGAGATGTGAGATTCAGGGATGGCTGCCCACCCTTCCCTTGGGGGGAATGGGGCTCAAGCCACGCAGGGGTTAACTTTCCTGAAAACACAATTAACTTTTTCCTATCCTGAGTGGGGAGGGAGGGGGAGATTTATTTAATCACTGGGAGATGCGGTGGTCTCCACCAAAGCTCCCTCCTCCCGCACAGACGTCTCTCTCGCAGATCCTACGTAGAGGGAACAGAACGCGTAGTGTTGTTGGGGGAGAGAGAGAGAGAGAAAGGAGAAGGAGAAGAAGGAGGGAAAAAAAAGGTTGATAGGTTTGTGCGCGGGTCCCTCGCGCGGGCTGCGCTCCTCCTGGGTGCTATTTGACAATTCCTGCCTCTGCCATTGGTCAGTGCTGGATCAGATGCTTGTATTTCCTTCTGGCCCTCACTGGCACCTCGCCATCCCCCCTCAGCGAAAACCCAATCTCAGATATACTACTAATAGGCGCGGCGCTCGGACTATAAAACACAACAAATCATAAGCCCGGCGGAGCAGCAGCGGCCGCGCGCCTCCCTCCCAATGAGTTCCTATTTCGTGAACTCCACCTTCCCCGTCACTCTGGCCAGCGGGCAGGAGTCCTTCCTGGGCCAGCTCCCGCTCTACTCCTCCGGCTATGCGGACCCGCTGCGGCACTACCCCGCGCCCTACGGGCCCGCGCCCGGCCAGGACAAGGGCTTTG